GCCAAGCACCGCAGTGTGCCCGCCCCTCGTCGCTCGAACCCCTCCTGGCACCTGAACGTGCAGGTGGAGTTGTAGCTGAAGTCTCCATAGGGATGGGTGCAGTTCATGCGCGCTCCCTCGGGCTCGAGCTGGGCACACTGCACAACTGGGAGAGACACGGCCCCGCCAGCCCATTAGGAGCATAATGAACTTGCCTGATTTGCCACTGGGACTCAGGCTGTTCAGCCGGGAGGGAGGGATGGGAATGGGTGGCTCACCGTCCTCACACTCAGGGCCTCGGAAGCCAGGGTAGCACTCGCAGCGGTAGCTCCCGATGGTCTCCACGCACTCACCACGCTGGCTGCATGGGAAAGGCTGGCAGGAGGCTGCACACACAGAGGATGGTCACCAGGAGCCACTGGCCCCCCTGCCAAGGTCCCCAGTCCCCCCGCTCACCCTTGTAGCACAGTGCCTTTTTCCTCCGGTTGCAGGGCTCATCGTTCCACTTGCCCGACTCCTGCTGCCTCTTGATGTAGATCTCCACGCAGTCCTGGTTGGAGCGGCGGTTGTTGGGCTCCCCGGCTGCCCAGTTCTCTGCCTCCTTTGTCAGCGCTTTCTTGGTGCCCACCCAGGTCCAGGTGCCGCCCAGCTTGCGGATGCCGATCCAGTAGTAGTGCCTGTGGAAGGGCAGGCTCTCGTTGAGGTACTTGATCTCCTGCTTGTTCTGGATTGCCACCAGGTCAGTGAAGAAGGTCTGGCAGTAGTTCCTGGCTTGTTCCCATGAGTAGTCCCCTTGGTCACTGTAGTGGTATGTCCAGGCACCCACCTCCACCCACATTACTGCACCTGTGAAAGAGGATGAGGTTTGGGAATTGATGCAGAAAGGGCAGGAGTCAGGTCGGGAATGGGATCCCTTGGGACATGAGGGTGAGCATCAGGGCCAAGAGGTGCCAGCAACCAGCTCTGTGAAGGGACAGGTCGAAAAGGCAAGCGTGGGTCAGAATGAGACTGTAAGGGTGCACAGAGACCTGGGTGCATCAGGAATGGCAGAAGGAGTTGAGGTGGGACTGAGGGAGACAGCTCAGGGATGAGGAAGGTGGGGGAGACGGGGTGAAGGCTGATACAGAGGATAGCATGGGATGGGGTGGGCAGACCGCAGGAGGCAGGGATGCCAACCCCTCCTTCAGCACACGGGGTGAAAGCTGAGCCCCACAGCCCCACCGCCCTGCCCACAAAGGTCTCCCAAAGGGGAAAACCCAACATTGAGATGGTTCTTTAAACACGGTTCCTTCCTTGAGCGCAGAAGTGTACCACTTCAGTTTTCTTCCTTTACACTTCTACGTGAGAGTCAGCCTGGAGCAAGGGAGAGCAACGGGCATGCCCTCACCCACAAAAGCATCTGGATCCCAAGCTGCTCATCTGAACCAGAGTTGGTCTGAAGAGTCTTGTAAAATTCAGTATTGCAAAACAACGTCTTGCAAAAATCAAGTTCACATCCTGGTCATGCCCACCAGACAAGACAAAGCCAGAGATTAACTGAAACCCACACCCAGAAGCAAAGGGCACTTTGCTGAAGCCTTGCTCTTATTTACAACATTTCGCACCACAACTTGATGCAATCAAAGGGCTTTAGCCACACACACACACACAAAAAGCCTCCTCCCTCCTCCCCAGAAGGAGATATCTCCACAACTGCAGAAAGTAGTATGGGCATCATATCTCCATCTGTGCAGAAAGGGAGATGGGGATCAACGTTTGCTCCAAACAACTGGCCTAGGGTACCCTGTGTCTCAGGGGAGCGTGTCACGCTGTGGTCATGCAAGCAAAGGTCTGGGCATCACAGATCAGATGCAAATCTAGGGCTTCCCAAGTCTAATTAAGGGTCTAGTTTGGTCAATAATTATGCATTTCTCCAAGCAAAATTCCCATAATTTCTCTGGTTTTCCTTATGAAAGAGAAAACTATGCACTTTGTTCAACAAAACTGAAGATGAGGAAAACATGTCCTGCAACAACAGCCCTCCTCTTCACCCCATGGGAGTGCAGGGCTGCAGGACAGAAGCTCAGGGCACCTCCTGGGAGCCTGCCCCACTCTCAGCTCCCACCACCCACTCCTGGCCCTCGCTACCTCCCCAGCTCTGCTCAGGGCAGCCACCCTGCCACCCCAACACACCCCATCCCCAGACCAAAAAGGACCAAGGGAGCCCATCCGCTGTGTGCCCACCCTCCACGTGTTCTCCTGCCTCTTCCCACCAACTCTTCCAATAACACCCTCTCTGCAGCACAGCTCATCCCACTCCTTCCCCTCAGCCTCATGTTGCCTGTCCCTGCCCCACCTGGAGCTGAATCCCCAGACAGGTGCTGTTTGCCTGCATTTCGACCCCTCAGCTCCTCTGGCAGCCCCCAGTGCTTCCTCCCAGGGTGGTGCTTAGCACCCACCACTCCCAGGGTGCCTTTGCATTTTTGTTTTCCTCTCAGAGCTAAATCTCAGCCTCCTTCTGACACTTATACATTTGCCTCTGCTCCTTTGGAAAGTAACCCAGCACAAGGAGAATCTCAAGGGACAGAGCAGACACCAGAAGGTTTTTCTCTGTGCAATGGCAACACGTGAAGGAAATATCCTACAGGCAGCAAACCCAAATTAGTTTCTACTCTGATTTTTTCTCCTGATGACAGTTAGCAGCTCTGACTCCGTGTGGTGCTGCCCAGCTGTGCTCCTGTAGGTCCTGTGACTACCTCCGTGCCCAGCTCCGCAGCGTGGGCATGGCATGGGCATGGCATGGGCATGGCATGGGCAGGGGGTAGGGCTGTTGTTGCTGCCTTTCTCCCGTTCACGATACAATGCACCAGCTCTCGTGCTGCGTGTGGGAACCAGACACCCTCGGCAGACACAGCCCCCTCGCCTCTAGCCCTGGTGCCGGCAGCCAAGGGGGGTGTGACTGAGGAGCCCCCAAAATGACACTGCTGCCCTTCTCCAGTTTCCCGGACCTGCCGGCTCCTTGGCAGCAGGGTGACGCTGGGCTTACTGGGCGGCAGCGGGTGGCTTACCCCATGCGATGGCAGCGATGCCCAGGTAGCAGATGCCACGAGAGTCTAGCGCCCACGTCCTCCCAGCAGACCACAGTCCCGCAGCAGTACCCTGTGTGCCAGGAAGGGAGGGGTGAGCATGCAGGTCCCGCGGGGGCTCCCCCCCCCGGCTGTGCACCCACACCGCTGCCAGGTGGTCCTGGTAGCCACGAGGACA